CCTCTCTGTAAAAAAAATCAATAAAATATATATATTTTTTAAAAATGAAGCTGGCCCTTAGCGCACATGCTCACGAATCATGTCTTCCGACCCGCAGACAACTTTCCCTTTCCTGTTCATGTTCCTGAGCCACTGGAACACTAGGAGGACCACTCTTCCAAAGTGCCATAGCTGTGTTTCTGTCGACAAAAGGTATTTGCCAAGATGTCCTTGTGTGTGCCAGGGACTGTCCCAGAACGTGGGAAACATCCTCTGGATTAGCAGGGTCAAGGTTGTTCCCCAAACAGCTGGACAATGGCTGTTCCTCAAATGCCAGTGTGCAGGAGAGAGGGAAATACGGACCCACGGCCATCCCTGAGAGGACAGGCTTCCCGACTACACTTTAGAGTCCAGGAACATTCAGCGAGGGCGGAGGTTAAGAAATGAGGAGAGTCAAAACTGGTTTGGCTCAGTGGATAGAGCATCGGTCTGCGGACTGAAAAGTCCCAGGTATGATTCCGGTCAAGGGCATGTACCTTGGTTTCGGGCACATCCCCAATTAGGGGGTGTGCAAGAGGCAGCTGATCAATGATTCTCTCTTATTGTTGTTTCTAACTCTCTATCCCTCTCTTCCTCTCTGTAAAAAATCAACTATATATATAGTTGATTTTTTACATATATATATATGTTTGTTTGTTTTTAAAGAAAGAAATGAGGAGAAACGATACTCAGGCGTCTTTTCCCAAGCGAATTCCCATTTTGTAGTTATTTTCTCAGGAGTTTTTTTTTGGTTTTGTTTTGATTTGTTATTACAGAAGTCACAGTGGAAAGCATTCAATCTCAAAAAGAGATTAAATTACCCAATTTAACTGGTTAACAAAGAGCCAAATAGTTGTTAGTAGTCACCAACATCACAGCTGGCATTTACCGAGCATTTACTACGTTCCCGGCCCTAGGCTGGACATTGCAGTTACATTTTCTCCTTTAATCCCCATAAAAATATCCAACGAGGTGGAGCTATTATTTCCCCTTTTTAATGATGAGGAACTCATCCTCTCAAGGTCACGCTCAGGTGGCTGACTCCCAAGCCAGCTCTTCACTCTCCCTGGCTATCTGCTGTCTGAGGTGTGCGTGCCTGCCGCAGAGCAGACAGTTCCCAAGCCCCAGCAGGCGGCCCGAGGACCACTGGCAACGGCCGTGACTGTCCTGTGTGCCTGCTAGACACCCGGGATTGGGACACCCCAAAGCCACAGCCCCTGCCCTCGATGAAACCAGGGCTGGCAGGACCCAGCCAAATAAACAAGGGTCCACCCGGTGAAAGGCACCCGGGCGGGTTGGGCTCTGGGCCAGGACCAAACCCGGTGTAAGGAGAAGGCCTGCTCCTGGGGGGCGGAGGGAGGAGCTCAGGCCAGGCTGTTCCGGTACCGCCAGGAAGTCCAGGTGAGAAGCATCAGGGTTTGGACGCCTGATGCAGACATTAAGGAGGGGGAGGATTTCCCCAATTCTCCAATGAGGAGGGCTTGCTAATTAAGGGCCCAAGCACCCCATTGTTATTCTTTTTTTTTTTTTTTTTTTAATATATTTTATTGATCTTTCACAGAGAGGAAGGGAGAGAGATAGTTAGAAACATGGATGAGAGAGAAACATCGACCAGCTGCCTCCTGCACACCCCTCACTGGGGATGTGCCCACAACCAATGTACATGCCCTTGACCGGGATCGAATCCTTTAGTCCATAGGCCGACGCTCTATCCACTGAGCCAAAGTAGTTTTGGCCATTGTTATTCTTGAGCAGCTCCATTCCATCCTCACTTCCTCTGTTGATTGGATAAGAATTTCATCAGTTATTTATGCAGCCATGCAGTCATGGGATACATATTTATTGAGTGCCTACTCTGTGCCCTGGGGATCTAGAGCAGCGGTGGACATTCCTGCTCTCCCAGAGCTCACCGTCCAGCCGGCCACAATGAACAAGTCACTAAATGAGCATACGTGGTGAGTTCCCGGTGTGAGGACTGCTGTGACAGAAATAGGCAGGCCTGTCCACGGAGCGAAAGGCCTCTTAGAAAGAGTGGTCAAGGAGGCACCTCCAGGAGTGACAACTGAGTGGAGATCTGGGTGGGCAGGAGGTGGCCACACCCCTACTGACGGAACAGCATTTTGGGCGCGGGGAATAGGCGGTGCAAAGTCAGACCCTGAGGGGAGGTGCTTCAGACTGGGGGTTCGCAGACCTGAAACCCCACAACCTAGGGATCCCAGCTGCCTGTCACTACTTGAGCCAATTCAGCAGAGACAGGGTTGAATCCTATATGAATGTTTACTCCAATCCTGCAGGCAGCAGGTCATCCGCAAAGATCTGCTTGGGGGTGGAAGGGAAGATCCTATAAGCCAGCTGCTTATATTGGGTATAAGATTACATGGGGAAGTAGGCAAAAGGATTAAGAATGGGTATGCAAGATAGGTATTATGGTGCAGAAATAGACAATGGGGTTGGGGTGGGACTCCATTGTTTGGGCAACAATCTTTCCATGATAATAGGCATAGCTCTTCAATAAGAATGGAAGGCATTCCAAGGTAGACTCCCAGGTCCAAGGCTGACTCCCAGTCCTGGTGGCGAACAACTCCCAGCCAGCTTAGAATGTGCTTTCTTTAACCAGAACAAAACAATCCCGGTTAACAGAGCATGAGTAATATTTCTTATAATTATAGCTAGATCCCAATATTCTATTTCTGCCTCCAAAAGAGCGACTTGTCCTGCTCTGATGCAGGAGACCAAGCCCGGGCACTGTTTTGTGATGCAGTGTAGTAGGGTACCTGATGTGATTTTATCCACCAGCACTAAGTGGTAGAGCAATAAACAACAAATAATAATTTTTTATGCTCTTACAAACAAATTATTCCAACTATGAAACTTACAAAAGGCATGTTAATAGAAAATATAGAATCTAGAGCCAGAAGAGATGTCAGATTGTCTAACCCAACTCCTCCTTTTACTATAGATGAAAAAACAGGCCCACAAAGGTGAAGCGAAAGCCCCAGGGCCACACCGCTGGACAGTGGTGGAACGGGGTTGGGACTCCAACTCTGAAATCACAGACAAGTTTTTCCCTTCACAGGTCTAGGAGGAACTATTCGTCACTGGCAGGCACTCACACTGGATGGAGTATTTGTTTTGAAAATGATACATCTGATTTTCCTGCTCTGAAATTTATCCCACGTAGCATTCCATCTAGCTTGACGCTGCTCACAACCCCTTGACCTGAATGTGAAAGCCGTGGGTATGACATCCGGGCCTCCAGAACAGATAGCTTGTTCTTGTACTCAAGTTCCGACCCGGGAACCTGGGGACCTGGGCTGCTTAGAGGGAGCTGAGTTGGAGACAGTGAAGTATGGTAGCAACCATACTTAGGTAAAAACTGCTGTTTGAGCTTTAACCCTGCTATTCTGGCTTCTGCACGCACTTACTTGCTTAAACAATAGGGTAGTTACCTCAGCTTCCAGACTGAGACCTGGAAACTCACAAAGGGAACTTTCCTGTGCCTGTGGACCAGGACCACAGGAGACTGATTCCCATTGACTCAGTAGCTCCAGGAGTTGAAACTGCAGATAACCTTTAGAGAGTAACTTTGCTCAGTTCTGCTTCTGTACTATCTGCTTTTGCAAGATAGGTCCACATTCCTACGTGCAGCAGGATGTGGCTGGGAACGACCTTGTGGACTGTTCCCAGCATTTAGAATTTAGGACAAAGGAAAAATTTTGTGGTTTAGACCTTCAAAGGACTGCTTACACCTGAAACGGTGCGGTTGTGAGTGTGGACTCCACCTGCGTGTGGTGCTCTTACAGTCATCCTGGCCAGTTCAATAAATCCTTGCCTGCCTTTTTCTAATCAATTAGCAGCCTCCGGTGGTCTTATTTTTGATTCCAGGGTTCGACCCCACAACAACAGGAAGTGAAGACTCTGACTCACACACCTGTGGCCCACCTTTGCTCACATGACTGGCCCTAGCTGCTGGGTGACATGACTTCACCTTGTAGAATAACAGCCTCCAGGGCCAGAGCCAGAACTGCCAGCTGACACGTTCCAGCATGGCACAGGGGCAGCATACATGACGACTAAAGTGGGGTCTTGAGGCCAAAAGATTAGAACTCACTCTGAGGACGTAGACAAAGCTCACAAGTATAAAGGATGAGGTCAGGTGGTATGAGCTCAGACCTCCCCAGAACACCAGGAGGAGGGGGCACCCCTGAATGGAAAGGACCTTGTTGGGAGGAGCGAAGGAAATGGTATTTATGTGGGGTGAGGAGAGTCAGTAGGGCAAGGCATTTGTGAAAGCATTGACCCCCAAGCCTGACGACTTAACAGGTCCCCACATGGTTTGGATGAGTTCAAATTCGCGCACAGAATACCGTCCGAGAGAAGCTAGGACTGGTGTATAGGTCCTCAACTTTGCGCCCTGTTCCTTATCCCTGGCACCTTGCTGCGTTTTGGTGCAGACAGGGAAGCGGACAGAAAAGGGAAACTTGTGTAGAAAATGCAGCATTTCCTCTCGGAGGGCAAAGATCCCCGATCCAAAGGTCCTCCAGGAAGGAGCCCGGGTCTATGTATGCACTCGTGTGTGTGTGTGTGTGTGTGTGTGTGTGTGTGTGTCTGTGTGTGTGTGTGTGTGTGTGTGTGTGTGTGTGTGTGTACACGTGAGGGGCGGACAAAGTCCTGTCCCAGAGGGCGGCTTTAGGCAAGTTGCTTCATTTTTTTGAGCCCGGGGTTCTCCAGTGTCAAACAAAACAACTTCCCACCTGGGGGGGATCCTTTCCCAATCTTTACAGATAGGCGGGCGGGGCTTGGGGAAGACTGACAGACCAAGCCCGCCGGTTGCTGGGCGACCAGGGACCAGCCCCCTTCTCCCTCGGCCCCGATTGGCTCCTCTCGAAAGGGGCGTGACCTGCCCCGCGGTGGGCGTGGCCCCGACAGGGTTGACACGGGGCCTAGAGGGCGCGGGCCGCACTGTCGCTGGAGTCGCCGCCATGGCCGGGCCTGCCCGCGGGTCCGCGCGCGCGCTGCTCTTCGCCCTGCTGGCGCCGGCGCTGGCGGCCCTGCTGGCGCTGCTGGTGGCACCGGCGCGGGGCCGAGGCGGCCGGGGCCACGGGGACTGGGACGCCGCCGGGCGGCTGCCGCCGCTGCCGCCCCGCGAGGACGCGGCGCGCGTGGCCCGCTTCGTGACGCACGTCTGCGACTGGGGCGCGCTGGCCACCGTCTCCGCGCAGGAGCCCGTGCGCGGCTGGGCCTTCGCCGACGTCCTGTCGCTCAGCGATGGGCCCCCGGGCGCGGGCAGCGGCGTGCCCTACTTCTACCTGAGCCCCATGCAGCAGCTGGTGGGCAACCTGCAGGTGAGCTTTCCACCGTCACTGCACCCGCCCAGGTGGTGGTGATGGTGGGGGGACCGACCCGGGCAACCATCCCTGACTCAGCTCCACAGGGAGAGCTCCACAGGGCGCTGAGGCTGTTGGGAAGTTCAGCGCATCCGTCTGCACCGAGAAGCTGGCGTCCAACCTGTGGACAGGAATGGGGTTGTAGCAACCTATAGGCTGCCTCAGCGGAGGGAGCAGAACTGATGGGAAATCCGCCCCCCTCGCCCGTTGCCCACCTTTTAGAGGCAAGGCCGGGTTTACAACTAGGGGGGACGCCTGCCCTCCCAAGAGAGGTGTCGGACGTGCAGCTGGAGATGCTAGAGCCACACAGTCTCCCATTGAAGCTCGATTTGGTAGAGGGTGTTTTGACAAAGATCCCAGATTTGAGATGAACTGGGAAAAGATAACGAAGTTGTAAAGATAAGATGAAAGAAAGTGATATTTGATTGAGCACCCACTATGCACCAGGGGGACCACCACTTTCCAGTCCTTATCTCTTTTTAAAAATATATATATATCTTATTGAATTTTTACAGAGAGGAAGAAAGAGAGATAGAGAGTTAGAAACATTGATGAGAGAGAATCATTGGTCAGCTGCCTCCTGCACCCCCCCCCCCCCCCACCCTCACCCCCTGGGGACGCTCCCGCAACCATGACACATGCCATTTGGCTGGAATCGAACCTGGGACCTTCCAATCCACAGGCTGACACTCTGTCCACTGAGCTAAACCAGTTCCGGAAAGTCCTTATCTCTTAATAGCTTCTTGAGGAGGTGTTACTGTTTTTATTTTGAGGCTTAGGTGGTTAGGTAACTTTCCCAAAGCCAGTGGCCAGACAGGAATTCCACCCCAGGTCCATCCCCTTTGCAATACTGTGGGCTGAGTATGTTCACCAACCAGTTTTCCTTCGCCCACACAAGGTTCTGTTTTGTTTTTAAAATAAAATTGAGTTAGTTCCATCATTAAAAAATTTAGATTTCAGTTAAAAGTCTAAACTTGTAACTTCTTGAAAAATTGGAAGATGAGGTGACAGTGGGAGCCGCACTGTCTGAGCAAAAACAAGCAGTTGCCTCCTTAGCCCAGGCACCCCCACCCCCGCCCCGCCTTCTCCATCTTAGTCCCAGCCCTCTCTGCTCCCGAGCGTGTGCTCTAAGCAGGCTCATTCCACTCCGTCATGGGGCTCAACCTGGGCTGCAAATGCAATCACCTGGGAGGACTTTTAAACACGATGCCAAGGCATTTTTTTAAAAATCCTCACCCAAGGATATTTCCCCATTGATTTGTAGAGAGAGTGGGAGAGGGAGAGAGAAACATTGATGTGAGAGAGACACACATCTTGATGGGGGCTCAAGATCGAGCCTGCAACCCAGATATGTGCCCTTAATCGGAGCCCTTGATCTGAATCAAACCTAGGACCCTTCAGTCTGCGAGCCAACACTCTACAAGGCATTTAATTAAAATACATTTCACTAAAAACACTCCCCTCCCGTCCCGCTGCTTCTGATGGGGGAGGTGTTGAGAACCACCGCTGTACATGGTGTGTTCAAACTTGGGAGGAAGAGAGGCTCAGAGGCGGGGGCTCAGCCAGGCCTGGCTGGTCTGGAAGAGACAGACCCGGCCCAGGATTGCAGGTTTCCACAGCGGAGCGAAAACGCAAGGCCGCGTCAGAGTTAGTCTGACTCGGGTCCCACCATTAACCAGCCAGGATTGGTTTACCATTTCTGCCTGTCCTCCTGCTCTGACCTCTGTCTGCTCCTGTCCACCCTGTCCACCAGGCTGACATGGCCACTTGGGATTGCCTTCTGTTCGGAAACCTTCACATCTGAAGCTTACGATCAACCTGGGTGTTTGTTTAAAATGCATGTCCCTGCCCTAGCCAGGGTGGCTCAGTTGGTTGGAGCGTCATCCTGTACACCATCTCCCATCGGGGCACATACCTAGGTTTCTGGTACGTTAGGGCTCATACAAGATGTTTCTCTCTCCATCTCTTCCTCTCTAAAATCAATAAATAGGCCCTAGCTAGTTTGGCTCAGTGGATAGAGCGTCCTCCTGCAGACGGAAGGGTCCCAGGTTTGATCCTGGTCAAAGCCATGTACCTTTGCTTGCGGGCGCATCCCCAGTGGGAGGTGTGCAAGAGGCAGCTGATCGATGTTTCTAACTCTATCCCCTCTCTCCCTCTCTAAAAAAGCAATAAAATATATTTTTATACCAATAGACATATTCTCGGGAGAGGATTAAAAAAAAAAAAATGAACCACTATGAAATGAATGCATGAGCCCAGAAATCAGCATTCTAAAAATCCCCACCCAATGCCAGCCTACAAAAGACCACCGTGACCGTGACTCCTGAGCTGGCCTTGAACCGTCCTCCCCCACCTGCTCCCCTCAGAAAGCCACTCCTTCCTCACTGCTCTCAGCCACCTCGTACACATTCCCAGCTCTGTCTCTTTGCAGACTCAGGTCCCTGGTTTTGAATACCTTACAAAGCTGCTGAGTCACCCCAGGCCCTGCTCACGGTTCCTTACACTGAACTTGAAAACCGCTTAACTGTACCGTCACTTGACAATTAGTTACGTGCTGCCTTATGAAGTCTTCTGTATCTTTGTTTTGCAGTATTTAAGTTTTGTTTACGTCTGACTTTTCAGCCAGACTGTAAACTCACAGGAGGGGAGACCATGTCCCAGTCCACGCCCTCTCTTTCTCTGCCTTTCCTGGGTGCCTTGTCTGAGAAAGTATAGACGCAACTGTTTGGCTAAATGGTTTCAAGGAGATCTCCTCTGACTGACTGCTTTGATGGGTCACCATGACATGGCAGAATTTGCTGCTCAAGACCCTTTGCCTTCAGAGAGCTCAGCCGTCTAAAACACAGCCTGTGAACATGGCTGTGCCTGTCAGCAGTGCCTTTGGGGAAGCTGATTCTAATCAGAAAGAACTAGGAATATTGCTTGCCTCAGCTTCTGAATCCAAGCGTTCTCTTGCTGTCAGAGCAAGAACAAACTTCTGTTTTTGAAATCCCGTGTCTGCATCTGCCAGCACGAGATCACCAAGAAGCATGACTCAGCCTCTTTCCTGCTGCAGCTGTGGAAGTGCTAGTTGAGCAACATGCTTTTTTGCACTAGCTTCACGTTAGCCTCTAACCCTCTGAGACCTGTTGACGGTATAGAGCAGCCTTGTGCTTGGGTGGTACTGTGATAATAACTTCTCTGGTGAATATGGGACAAGTTAAGAGTTTAAGAAGTGTTAAAATAATTGAGTCAGTTTTTTTTAACCCTCACCTGAGGATATTTTTCCATTGATTTTTAGAGAGGGAAAGACAGAGAGAAATACTGATGTGAGAGAGACACATTGGTTGGTTGCCTCTTGCACTTGCCCCAACCAGGGCCAGGGCCAGGGAGGAGCCTGCACGTGCCCTCGACCGGAATTGAACCTGGGACCCTTCAGGCTCTCTGTCCACTGAGCCAAACTGGCTCAGGCTCTGAGTCAGTTGAATTTAAAATGTGAGTGCCCTTCCCCCCTTTTGGAGAGAGGGTCAAGATTATTCTTGCCCTAACTGGTTTGGCTCAGTGGATAGAGCATCAGCCTGCGGACTGAAGGGTCCCAGGTTCAATTCCAGTCAAGAGCATGTACCTTGGTTTTGGGCACATCCCCAGTAGGAGGTGTGCAGGAGTCAGCTGATCCATGTTTCTCTCTCATCGATGTTTCTAGCTCTCTATCCCTCTCTCTTCCTCTCTGTAAAAAATCAATAAAATATATTTAAAAAGAGATTCTTCTCTATTCCAATAGACATCGTCGGGGTGAGAGATGGTGTTCACAGCCCGTTGTTTTGTGGAGGAACAGTGGTCGAGCCCCGGGGATGGTGTGTGTGTGCACGATGTGAGACTGAGTGCCTCTCCAGACACACACCGTGTTTCACCAGAGGGTCTTCTTTCTCTCTCCAGGAGAATCCGTACGCTACGCTCACCTTGTCTTTGGCGCAGACTAACTTCTGCAGGAAAAATGGATTTGACCCCCAAAACCCGCTCTGTGCTCACACCATCCTGGCAGGGACTGTCACCAAGGTATGTAGTTGCTGCGGGAACAGCCTGGCTTTAGGAGGGCGTCATCTTATTAACAACGAAGGAGGGACCACTGGAGGTAAAGTGAAGCTGGCTTGTAGTTGAGCCGCAGAGTTAGAATATGACGTCATTTCACAAGCAGCCAAAGACTTCATCAGTTGCTTTCACACAGGTGTTCAATCAGACACTCAGGAGCAGACGGAAGTATTTCTTGAGGTCAGACAGATCTAATAGCTGGGAAGCCCCTAAGTAAGGAACATCTCAGCCCAAGCTCACTCTCCTGCGTGTAGTACACCGGACAGCACGCGCCCTGCCTGTCTCCACCCGGTGACGGTGGCTTACAGCAGAGAGCGTCCTGCGTAGGTTAGAAGGGAAGAACCCATTACCGAGACCCGCGTTACATGCTGACAGTGAGCGGTGGGTGCTGGAGGGAGGCGGTTCAGTAACACCATGGGAAGCACAGAGGGAAGGTGTCACGAGCACTGACTGATGGTCCAGCCCTCAGATCGCTTCTGGACCTTGCTGACCGGGTTTCTCGGCCCGGTTCTGTTTATGGTCCTGAAGTTCCGTGGAGGCATCTCTGGGTCTGCGTGCCCATCACAGGCAGGAGGAAGGGGCAGGGCAGCAAGTGCTCCTGACCCCCTGTGTCTCCTAAAGACTCACCTTTGCGTACCTGCAGCTCATGTTTCCCACGGATTTGTCCCGGGGCGAGTGAGCTAATGGAATATGTCATAGGCCACAGGCACAATTCATGCTAGTGCCTCACACCAGCCCTCTATCAGCTCAAAATGACCGTTAGCAATGAAAACGGGCCTGCACTGGTCCCATGTCCACACCCATTCTCATCTCCATGCAAGCTCTTCATTGCTGTCTGCATTACCCAAGCTTCCTTTATGCTTTCTTGTTTCCTTATGTTTATGGTCAGGATGTACAGTGGACCCTAAAGGTCTCATCACACACACACACACACACACACACACACACACACACACACACACAAAAAAAAAAAAAAAAAAAAAAAAAAGAAAGAAAGAAAGAAAGAAAGAGAAGACAAAAGCATTTTTGTAAGTATGTGTGGCAATGGATGCTAACCAAACTCACTGTGGTAATCATTTCACAATCTATACAGGGGTGGCCAAAGTCACTTTACAGTCACAGTTTATTCTTGTCTTAATTTTGAACTAGAGGCCTGGTGCACAGATCCATGCACTGGTGGGGTCTCACGGCCTGGCCTTAGGGGATTAGGTTGAAACCAACTCTCTGACATCCCCCCCTAGGGCCCCTGATTGTGAAAAGGCACAGGCCAGGCCGAGGGACCACATGATGCATGATCGGGGCCAGAGAAGGTCCATGGGAAGGCTCTAGGGCATGTCCGGCCGATCTCAGCCGGTCCTGATCTGCTGGATCTTAGCAGCAAGCTAACCTACCAGTCGGTGCATTTGCCCCCTGGTGGTCAGGTCACATCATAGCAAGCAGTTGAGCAGCCTTAGCATATTATTAACATACTACGCTTCGATTGGTTGAACAGCCGACCAGACTACCGTACACTTAGCATATTAGGCTTTTATTAAATAGGATTATATCTTTATTTAAAAAAAAACAAACTACAGTACATAAAAGGGAGAGATCAACTAAAGGACTTATGTGCACACATATGCACATATGAGCCTAACCAGTGGTCAAGGACAATAGGGGGGTGGGGGCACGAGTTGGGGGGTGGTGGGGGATTGGAATGGGGGGTTGAGGACAAATATGTGATCAATCAATTAATTTATTAATCAATAAAGAAATTAATTAAAAAACAAACAGTACAAAAGTCAGGATCTGTAACTAAACACAGGATGTGTGGAATGCTGGAATCACATTGTTAACAGACGAGAAGACTGTCCCGGCTGTTAGCATGGTCACTTCACTGTCTTTCAGGTGAATGAGACCGAGATGGACATCGCAAAGCAGTCGATGTTCATTCGGCACCCCGAGATGAAAGACTGGCCTGCCAGCCACGACTGGTTCTTCGCCAAGCTGAACATCACCAACATCTGGGTCCTGGACTACTTCGGCGGGCCCAAAGTCGTGACGCCCGAGCAATACTACAATGTCACATTTCAGTAGGTGTGTGTTCACCCCTCGTGCCCCTTATTTCGAAGCCCTCGCCCGGGGTCCTACGCCAGGGGGTGGCTCCTTTGGCAGCTTGGTAGGCCTGTGGCCACACTCACTAGTATTTTTGTACTGCATCACATACATAGGATTACAAAGAAAACGACTATATTGAAGTCCGTTCATAAAAATATGTCTTGTAATTGTGGTACAGTGATATGTTGGCACGTTCAGTAACATGTTACGGCATCTGCAGGACCTCTGATGTGACATGAGAGCGTCTGTGTTTCTAACAGGCACAGGGGCACTGTCACCAAGTGGTTTGCTGCCTACATTCCTCATCGAAGGAGATGAGAAACTTCAGTCAGAGCCGAATGGAACGGAGAGCTTTTTCTTCCACCCCAGTTCCCGGCTCCCTGAACTCCGCCTACAGGCCAGACCCGACTGAGGCTGTGCTGTGGGCTCTGGAAGAGCCAGTTCTGACCCGGGATCACCTTTTCTCATGAGACTCAGACTGAGGTGCCTCCGGACTGAGTGACCCCACCCACGTCTGAGCACATGGCCCCATGCCCAGCAGCCCTCAGGCCTGCGGGTGCCTGTGGGCCGTGTGGGTCCCCCTGCCAGCCAGTGGGCACCAGAGCGGAGGAGGCTGAGAGCACAGGCCCTGGGAGAGAAGGAGGGAGGAGAGCAGGACCTGAGGAGGTGTGGTCAGGGGTCGAATGAAGGAAGATAAGGGACCGATCTTTTCCCAGGTACACGGCATCCCTGCATCAGCATGGCCTCACGGGCAGTGATGCAACCACAGTCACAACAGCACCCAGTGTGTGCTGAGCTGCTCTTGCCTGCCGGGTGCAGTCTGGGTTGTTTATATGTATCAGCTCATTGCTCTCACCGTGACCTGTGAGTGTGACCTATGGATTAGGTAACTCAGTCCCTCATCTGTGAGATGGGGAGCAGCACTGCCTTCCTACCTTGATGCCATGCTGACCCTTGGGTCGCCCCCTGGTGGCCGGCCAGCTCCTGCTCCAGTGTCACTCCTGATGCAGGTTCTCCTTGCGATGACGACATGACGGGCTGCTGTTGGCAGAGGCGAGGGTGGGGATACGAAGCTGGTAGGTGTAGCTCACGTTCGGGCTTCTGCTCACAGCTCTATGTGTTTTATCTTATTCCACGTAAGCCAGGTCCACCTCGGACTGTTACATCCCATCACGATTGTACATTTCTTCGCAGCAGCGCTCAGCTTTTATTTTTAACCCTTTAAAATCTTAAACACAGCCTAGGACGATGCATGGCACAGAGCAGGCGGCTCGTAAATGCTGGCGACTTGCCAGCCTGGTCATCTGAGACACAGATTCTCAGCTGCTTGTTTGAAAAGGGTCCACGTGCCTGGGGGAGAAGGGGCTCAGGCAGGTTTGGGGCTGGTAACGCCACCTCACTTTATAGGGACACAGAGGCCCATTATGGTGTGCCACCGGGCAATACGGTACCCAGGAGGACGGTCAGTCAATGACAGGCCCACTCTTCAAGGTTAAAGGGGATGGTCACAGGACATAAGGATCTCTGCAGTACAGTTATATACATAAAAGTCTAGTGACTGGCTGACCAGCCAGTAGCTATGATGCACACTGACCACCAGGGGGCAAACACTTAATGCAGGAGCTGCCAAGCTGTGGTGACTTGGCAGCTGCGGTTCTTGGGTGAGGTACCCAGAACCAGAGAGGAGGGAGCCCGATTCCAGAATGTGTCACCCGAGAACCACCCTCTTGCAATCTGGGACCCCTTAGGGGATGTTGGAGAGCCAGTTTTGGCCCGATCCCAGCAGGCCAGGCCAAGGGACCCCACCTGTGCACGAATCTGTGCACCTGGCCTCTCGTCTTTGTATGAGTAACACACCCAGGGGCAATGCTCACTTTAATAAAAAATTCGAATGTTTTTTTCTAAGTCTCCATGCTGAGTGAGACACACCCAAGGTTCCCTCTTCACTGCACAGGCGAGTGGCCTTCCTGCAGCTGAGAGATAAGATGAGACCAAAGACGTGCCAGAGTGTGGCCCTTCTGAGGCAGGACGCGGGCCTGGGAGGGCCCTGCCCCCATGCCGCCCACTCGGATTGCCACCAGTACTGTCCTCCAGTCCGGGGAGTGGACAGTGATAACCGTAGGGGCTGCACATTCTTAGGGACCCTTCCAGGGGCCTGCAGGAGCTTCTGCCCCATGGCGTCTGCCCAGATCAGACTTGGAGGATGTGACTTCTCCAAACACTGAGAAGCCGCCTGCACCCTAGACTCTGCTGCTCTCAGAGGCGTCCTTTGAGGTTTGGAGGTCGGTCTGCCTCACGGGGCTGCTGGGTCAGATGCCAGGCACATCTGACAGGGAATGGAGGTCTGATGTTGACAGAGGTGCTTGCTGACACCCTCGACGAGCAGTTCCCATAAGATCCCAGTTGCCTCCACACAGGGTTAAGTCTGAGCACCAGGCCTCATACCAGGCATCATACCTAGCAGGACAGGTAAGGGGAGGTCACGGATTACCAACCTGCCCGGCCTCCCATGCCGGGAGGTGGAGTTCCGGATAACCGTGGTCCTGGCTGCAGCAGGAAAAGGGTCCCAGCTGGACTCAGCACCATCAGGCATGGCTGGTTAGCGCTCCTCTGCCCTCATGTTCAGGACCCTCTGTCCTCAACTGTGCCTGTCTTTTAAACCTTCAGACATTCTGAGCGGAGACACCCAGCCTGAAGGGCGCTGGGTCCATGCACGTGGGCACATCAGCCTTGCACAAGAGGGTGATGGCTGGCATGAAGATTCCTAGGCTCCTGGACACCGAACTCCAGAGTCTCAGGCGCTGCTCACCACGCTGGAGTGGCAGAAGTTAGCTCAGAGCCTTAAACTGTTGGAAGTTTCTCTAGTCTTTGCCTAGAATGAATGAACTTGTAAGATGTCATCTCACTTAATGAAATAATCCTTCGTCCTCTCTCCTTCTGGTTAGGTGAAGCGGAATCTGGCGAATTGAACCACGCGGTGAAGTTCCTAGGATGTTTCCCATGAATCCAAGGGCTTCGGGTTTCTCTGGAGAATGTCCCGGAGATCAGCCTGGTTACAGCAGCACGTAGATCTGCTACTGAATTTCTTGGAAAAAGGAGGTTGCTAAATTTGAGACATTTAAATTTATGGTTTTACTTATATACATGGTTTCAGAAGACGAGACGAGATCCCCCATGGAGGCGTGCCAGGAATCACTGCAGACCCCTCAGTGGCTCAGGTGTGCCTCTTTACGTTCGAAGACAACAAATGAACTTACCCGAAACCCAGCACAGCCTCTGGGGAAGAAAAGGATGAAAAAAAGAAAAATGATTTACATTATATTTGGGAAAATGGGTTTCTTATTCAGAGTATCAATAATTAAAAGCATTATTTTAATGACATGAGTTGGATTCATTTTCTTTATATATATATTATTGATTTCAGAGAGGAAGTAGAGGGAGAGAGAGAGAAACATCAGTGATGAGAGAGAATCATTGATCGGCTGCCTCTTGCACACCCCCCACTGGGGATGGAGCCTGCATCCGGGGCCTGTGCCCTGACAGGGAATCAAACTGTGACCTCCTGGTTCATAGGTTGACGATCAACCACTGAGCCACACCGGCTGGGCTGGATTCATTTTCTTGAGATGCTCCTGTTCCTCACTCACTGGCCACTGCCGATCCTCCGTGCCTTTATTTGAGCGTGCTGTTGAGTCAAACACTGCTCCAGCGCTGCAAGGGAATCCTTAACCCTCTTCCTTGGGTGCACAGCCCTGGTGTCCTAGAATTGGGGGTGGGGCGGAACGCAGCCTTGGTCAGGGCCTGACCCAGGGCCTTGGTGCAGACACGGGCTTGTGGTGGAATTAGTTTGAGGCACCTACCTAGTTTTCCCCTCTACCCGCTCAGTGGGAGTTGTGTCTTCGCCACTCGGTGCCATGTAAGAACATGCTTGTTATCACAGAAAAGACAGCCTCTGGGACACAGCAGGTGGTACAGGTTGAATGGGCAGAATATGTTCCAGGGATTGACCACCAGGGGGCACTGCAGACCACTCTTTGGGTAGCCAGCTGTGGCTAGGGAGACCCTGGATGGTGAAGACACTGGGGCAAAGGCAGCTCCACAGAGACAGGAGGCGACGCCTGGTCTCACGTTCCCTCCCTCCATGCCACGTGCTCCGGGTCTCCTTGCACCCCACGTCCTATAGGAGAGGGACAGAGCCCTGGCCTCAACCCGTAAGGGCATGAGTGTCTGGGCCGGGGCAGCCTTTGGCCCAGAGGGCAAGGCAGGTTCTGATCATGAAAAAAGAAAATCAAAAGTAGAAAGCGGGAGTGGCGAAGTGCCTTGTGCTGCTAACAGCCAGTGACAATGGCTTATTCATCCCAGGTCCGTGTGTGTGTGGGGGGGGGGGGGGAGAGAAACTCCCTGTGAGAGGGGCAGGCCCAGGCCCAAAGCACTGACACCCTGACCACCTTGCTCCTGTCACGCTTCCCTCAGCGATACCCAGACGGAGACCCAGTGGCGGAGGAGGGGCGTGTCTCAGCTTTGCACTGAGCACAGGAACCACTGTGCTCTGTCCGGCTGGTGTGTCAGTATTCTTTAGGGAAATGCCATACCATCACTTCAGAGTCAGGTGCTCTGAGAAGACAGTTCTAACTTAAGTCCTGTCAGGAATGAAGGGACAAATAAACCAACCAGTAAAACATCACCTTTTTCTTAGTTTTCCCTTAGTATTTATTGTAAGAGGTGTGAAAAATATGGAAAACTTTAAAAGTTTAACATGACCACCTCACCAGCCAGCATAGCTGCTAACATTTTTATGTGTTTTCTTCCAATCCTTACTTCCAAGAAATGCTTAAATATAACATTGAATAATAAGATGACTGATCGTGTATCTCACTTCTTTCACTTAGTCATAAGCTTATGATACTGGAACCCGCAAGGATGGCTTGGTGGCTGCAGAATATGACATCAGGTCAACAATGGCCTATATTAGCCTCTGGTGCTAGTGACAGACGCCCTGGTCAAAGCCCTTTGATTCACTGACCTCACATCTTCCCAACCTGGTCCTCTTCTGGCCGAGCTGGTTCTACTCGCAGTCAGCAATCTTAGAGCGAAGAGGCGGGATCCTTCCCAGCCCGGAGGGCGCCATTCCTGAGTGGCCACTGTGTCTGGTAGTGGGGTGCACTCCCTGGTGCAGCCTGGGTCCCGGGTCCTCCCCTGCAGCTCAGGGTTCAGCTCATTCCCGTCAGAACCACAGGGAGCGGGGGCATCAGAGGAGCTCCGTCAATGGGAGGGACATGGCAGGCCCAGCTCAGTGCTGTCACCACGCCCCGGCGTGGGCACATATAAGTCACTTCCGGTTTTTCCCTGTTGAAGAGACAGGACATTTATACATCCACCGTATTCCACACCCGTGTTTATTTCCTCAGAGAGAGTCCCAGCCACGGGGAAAAGCAGGTGGTACACGTTGCAAACTGCTCCTGAGAATTTCTACCACTTAGTCCTGCAAGCAGGTGTGGGAGTGCCCAGATCCGATAGGTAAGAGTGGCATGGCTTTAGGTCACTGGTGACTTTGGCATCGAAAAACCCAAAAACCCATGTGGCTCAGCTGGTGGGGCGTCAGCCCATGCCCCAAAGGGGTTGCTGGTTTAATTCCCAGTTGGGGTACATGCCTCGAGGCAGTCAATCGATGTTTCTCTCTCCCTCTCTCTTCCTCTCTCTCTAAAAATCAATTTTAAAACTATTTTAAAAAATAGATAACAATAAAAACCCAGTGAATACTAGTTGATTTACTTTCCTTTGCTTCAAATAGCAATTGGTAACCCATAGGTTGAATTTTCTCAAAAATGTATACACATAGACCTTTCATCCACATCTGCTGACAAATATTTTGTGGTTTCCAGTTTGGAGCTGTTACTGGTGGAAACCACCAGTTTGAGCTGTTGTGACTCTTTTTTAAAAATATATTTTTACTAGAGGCCTGATTCACAGATTCGGCCCGATCCCCACAGGTTAGGCTGAGGGATCCCACCGGTGCACGAATCTGTGCACAGGGTCTCTAGAGTGCATATAAGGTCTTTAGTTAATCTCTTCTTGCCCTCCCCCTTCCCCCCTTCCCTCCGAGATTCACCAGTCTGCTCCATGTTTCCATGCCTGTGCATTGAGCATCTGCCCCTGGTGGTCAATGTGTATCATAGCTACCGGTCAAATGGTCACTTAGGCTTTTATATACACTGAGTGGCCAGATTATTATGATCTCTGAACACATAACAATCTGGCCCAGTGCATTAATTCATGCATGGGTGGTGTCCGGCAGCCTGGACAGGGGGAAGGGACATGGGCCGTTGGCTGGCCTGCCTGCTGGTCGTACTTCTGGTAGAGGGGACAATTTGCATATTAGCCTTTTATTATATAGGATATACACTGAGTGGCCAGATTATTATGTGTTCAGAGATCATCATAATCTGGCCACTTAGTGTATATAGATTTATTTCAGAGAGAAAGGGAGAGGGAGAGAGAGATAGAAACATCAATGATGAGAGAGAATCATTCATCAGCTGCTTCTTGTACACCTTCTACTTGGGATTGAGCCTGCAACCTGGGCATATGCCCTTGACCAGAATCGAACCCAGGACCTTTCAGTCCACAGGCCTACACTCTATCCACAGAGCCATACTGGCCAGTGCTGCGGTGACTATATATGGACATATATTTCTTTTTGTTTTGGGTAGATAGGAGTGGGTAGCTGGATCATACGGAGGATGTGTTTAACTTTTTAAGAACCGGCCAAACTGCTCTCCAAGACGGCTGTGCCATTTGACACCCCCACCAGCATGTATGAAAGCTCCAGATTCAGGCCAAGTTCAGAACTGCAAGCTCAGACCTACTCCATCAGAGTCCTTTATAGGTAAGGACACCGTAGCCCGGAGATGTTGAGTGACTTACCCAAAGCCACACAGCACGCAGGCAGCAGAGACGGCGTGAACGGGCAGGCGGTCTGTCTCCTCAGTCAGCCTGACTCGGAAGCAGAGCCCTCATCTCACCCACCATCACATCAAGTCTAGGGAGCCAGCGTGCTCCTCCATGCATCAGACCAACGTCACCATCAAGGTAGGAATTAGATGAAAATGAGACTGAAATTGGGGGTGAGGGGGGAGGAAAATGAAACAATGGCACCATGAGGGGAAGAGCAGAACTCAGGCAGGCAGGCAGGCAGCAGGCAGACACACACCCCAAACCCTCAAACCTCCAGAGCTTCCTGCCTGTGAGCGAGGGGGTGTGAGCCTTGCTGCTGGCAGGTGCTGCCTCTCAGAGGCCTCGTCCTCCACTTCCTGAGCTGGCCACCCCGGAGCTGGCTCCCGTTCCCTTTGTCTGCGCGTCCTGCCCTGCCCCTCGTCCCGGCACATCCCGGACGGACGGACGGACAGCATGAAGTGGGCGGCGCTCGTGACCGTGGCCATCCTACAGGCCCAGCTCCCAGGGGCAGGTAAGGTGCACAGCGGGGCCAGGCCTTTGAGAACGTCTGTGGCTGTGGGGGGGGGACCCCAGGGGCTGGGAGGACCCGGCGTCTCCTCCATACCCCGTCCTTCCGAAAACAACGGGCAGCGGAGTGTGTGTGTGTGTGTGTGTGGAGGGGGGGGGGACCGGAGGAGAGGGAGAAGGAGGCCAGCTGATGTAGCAGCTTCACGGCCTCCACTGACGCCGGCCCGGGGTGCGCGCTTCTCCGGGGGCCAGGCCGGGATGGGCCGGGGAGGGACGCCAGGAGCCCGGGCGCAGGCCCCGTGGCGAGCCGAAGCTGGTGGCATCGGGGAGCATCAGGGAGCACCGGCCAGGCCAGGCTTCCTGCTGCGACGTGGTTCTAGTTTCTGGTCTTCGCTGACCCCCTGGCTGGGTCCCTGTCCCTGTCCTGCTTCCTTCGCCAAACAGAAAGGTTGTCATGGTCGGAGGCAGGGCCCACATGAGCCGCCTCTATGGTCTGGGAACTAACTGGGGCTCAGGGAGGAGGGCCTGACCTTCCTGGGGCTCAGCCCTGCACCCCGAGGCCAGCGCTCCCGTGACACACTCACGCCAGGCTCCGGGCTCACCCGCAGGCCGCTCTCTGGCTGCCCCGGAAGGCCAGGCCCGAGGGCAGGACGCGGGGACGGGAGGTGACAGCTCAGCCGCCACCACGAGGGACAGACACCCTGCCTCCCCCGTTCCCGCAGCGAGGCCCTTCCAGGCTCTCCCCCCGGGGCCCGGGCGCGGGCATCTCCAGGAACGGGACGGCCATGCTTACATCGGGGACCGGGAAGCCGCCCTACCCCTCCTCGCTCGGCCCGGGCGGCACAGGGTGGAGGCAGGGAGGCCCTGGCACTTCCGGCTCGGGTTTCGAGGGCTGAGCCATGCGGGTTTTCTGTAAGATCGCAGCCCTTCTCAGAAAGGCCTGGGTGGGCATGAGTCACAGGGAGCTGCGGGTGAGGGCACCCCGAGGCGCCCGGAGCCGCCGTCCTGGCGGGCGGGGACCCAGCGCTGCTGGGAGGTTCGTCACCGCTGCACCTGCCTCTCGGCCACAGGGAGGTTGGGGCACAGGGGGATTCGAAGGGACAAGAAAAGCTGGGGCGCTGAGGGTGCCACGAGCAGAAAACAAAGCCCCGTCCGGCAGACAAGATGGGGCACAGCCCCCTGCACACCCACCAAGCCGGAGCTGGAGGGACCCCCTCCCTCTCTCAGTGCACTCGGCTGGGGACATGAGAGTTCAGCTCCGCACAGACAGACAGATACACAGACAGACACACAGACGGGCTCCTGGCAAGGTGCGTCACAGAGCCCTTGGCCCTGCAGGAGAGACCGGGGACGCCGAGGCTCCCACACGCCCTGCGCACCCTGAGGGCAGGCTCCTCTCAGAATCTGACCTCAGGTCCCTTTCCTGCTCAGTGCAGTGATCACCCGACCCCTTAAAACATCACTTCCCGAGGACCTGTCTGTCTGCGTTTCCTCGGGACGCCCAGTCATTGGGATCAGAGAAATAGCGACCCGGTCTGTGGGTGAGGGCTCCCTGGTGAAAGCCCCCAAGGCCGCCCACCGCCGGGCCTGCGGCTGGTGGGGACTGAAGTCACTGCCTGGCTAGGCCGCCCGTTGGCCTGCAGGGCCCTCGGCTCAGTGCTCTGACTGCCCGCCTCGCTGGCCAGGCCTCGCGGGGTCTGGGCGGCTCTGTCCTTTGTCTGGGGTGCCGTGCGGCCATGGTACAAGCCTCAGGAAACAGCCTCCAGGCTCCTGGTCGGCTCAGCTAGCAGGAAAGCAGCTGGATGGGGTGCAGAGTCAGGCGGTCAGTGTCTGTGCAACCTTAAACAACTTACTTAACCTCTCTGGGCCTCCGTCCTCTCCCCTCTGGAGTGAGGAGAGCCTTCCTCGCAGAGTGTGACACAGGGAGTGACTAGTGTGCCAGATACACCACGGACAGGCAGAGCGTGGACGTGGTGCTAACTATCACCCGTGGCTGTTTCCTTGTTCGGCACCAGGAGCAGGAAACGGAAGCCCACGGTGGGATTTGGTGTGCTCTGGCTGTGTGGTGAAGCAGCCCCAGGCCTTTGTCCATCTCCCTCCGGTTTCTGAGCATGCTCACAGCAGCCCAGGCCCCACAAGGAGCCTGGGAGAGCTCTGTGGGTCTCAGGATGACTTCCCACTTCTATTGCTTAACACCGACTCTGTAGGGATACCCCCAAAGTGAAAACAAGCCTGAAAAAGACTCACTGTGCGCAGTTAGGGACGGTGTGTGAGACAAGGCCCCGGCCCCGTGAGTCAGGGCGGGACGCAGACTTTGCAGCGGGTGAGGGTGCGGGTGAGGATGAGGGTGCGGGTGTGGGTTAGGGTGCGGGTGCCGGTGCGGGTATGGGTGCGGGCCTGATGTTAAGGGGCAGCATTTTGCGGGGCAGATCCCTGCCTCAGCTGCTGGGAGCTGGACTTGACGGGCGCTTGTAGGCGATGCCAGGACAGGGTTCTCATCCTGGGCATTTTCGCCAGGGATTTATTCAGCCTCTGTCACCAGGCTCTGCTTGCCCCATGAGCCACTCCTTTTCCTGCCGGGTCCAGACCCCCCTGCAGCCTCCATCCCCCCAGCCCCGGTCCTGGGAAGCTCCTGCTGGTGGTGTGTTTATTTTCACATCCGTTTCATCTCTGTCTTTAAAAAATAGACTTGATTTTTATTGGGAGTCACTTTTAAGAGTCCCCAGTGTTGCGCTCGTTTCTCGGGAAGGCTCCGGGGCTTAGGAGCTTGTCCAGATGCTGCTGTGGTGCTGTCGCCGGCCACGCACTGCGGGCCACGCACGAATAGCAGGGCGAGCTCATGATACAGTTCTCGGCTTGGCCACGGCTGTTCTTACCAGCACTACGTGACGGCCGACGCGTCTGTCTGACAAGCAGTCAGTCTGTTTGGTGAAGAAAGGACTGAGCCGGGCATCTGACTTGTTAGTTGAAACAAAATGGCCACCAAGTCCCTGCACGGCCACGGCCACGGCCATGGCCATCTCTTCCGCCAGAAGCCCCAGGTGGTGCTCCTGAGGGAAGTAATGCCTCCCCCTTCTCCATGTGTCAGGGCCTGAACATCTATGGAGGGGTTAACACTTGGTGAGGAAGGAAATCAGGGGGTTCCTGTGTGATTAGATTAAATCAATGGCTTGTTTGGGGGGTACTGGCGTGGCGCTGTTGGGATCTAACTCCTAGAGCAGTGTCTTAACCCGAGGAATTCCCTGTCTTAACCCGAGGAATTCCCAAACTTTTGACATATGGGCACCCCTTCTATAATTTTCGTAACGCTGAGTACCCCTCGTACTCATGAGAACGTAGAATTAGGCGCAGCTAAGCACGGTGCAGTGCATATCCCCACCAAACTCCAGTGCAACGCGTACCCCCACCAAACTCTTCCCGTACCCCTGGGGGTACACATATCACACTTTGGGAAACACTGCAGAGACTGGAATATCAAAGTTTGTGGTTTTTAAAGAGAAATTAACTGGTGGAGGAGACAGCACTTTGAGTAAATAGAACGATTCTAAATAATTTTAAGGATGGTTTAAGGTAAAAATCCTACCTTAATGTTAATATGTTCTCCTTTGATCAGATGAAATTTCCAATATTTCTTTATTCTGGACCTATAAAAATCAAAATTTCATACGATTCAACTAATATATCTCAAAAATGAACAACCAAATGAAGACAGGCGTTCATTTTTCAGACCTGGCTTTCACATGAGAGCAAAGCAGCCAGTACAGAAGGCACCGTCGTGGAGTTGTTAACGGTGAACTCAGGAGCTGATGAGAGGATCCAAGGAGGAAAATAAGAGTGTGTGGCTATAGTAAAAATCACATTTTTCAATTTTCTCCAATTGCTGAACTGCCTCAAAACCTGGAGAGAAAAGCAACATGAGAGCCACGCAGCACCGTCAGTTTGGTCTGTGTCTCTAAATAAATGCTCCATGTAGCTACCGTCTTCTTCCCTGTCTTAACCCAAGGAATTTTAACAGAAATACCATAAACATCATGAGAGGAAATTATAAGCTTTTTAAGATCCATAATCTTACCGTGCTAGCCCAATAACTTTTCACTTTCACTTCTTTAGGTTCCATTCCAACATTCTTAACAAGGGAGTCCATACCTTGTAGAGCTGCTGTTATAAAAATGGCCTCACGTGCTTTTTTTCTTTATGTGATGGCCTTTCCCACGCGTGGCCTTCACCGTGGCTTTTAACTGCTTTTAAACCGCCCTTGTTCCTCCTCGCAGTTCTCCATCGCTCCTTCTTGGTGGACATTGGGGCTGTTTCTAATTTTTGTCACTACGGCTGGCCCTGCCAGAAAAACATTGGGGTAAGGAAGCTTTTAGCATTTCTTTTGAGGCGTTTCCTTGGCTAATTTCTCCGGGACTGACAGTGAGGAGTGGGATTCAGAGGACAGTCAGTGCGCTTAAACTTCCGTGCACAGCAACCCCGCTGAGGAAAGAGCTTATTTCTAAATCTCTGAGCCCGTCACACGGTGTCTGTCTCCTCTGGAGCAGGAGGCCTGGTGGGGGGAGAGAGGCCCAGGGGCCAGAAGATTGGGGTCCGAGTCCTGGTTTGTCCCCAGCCTGTCCCTGCCGTGAGCAGGCCCCCTCCCCCCAGAGCCTCGGGCTTCCTCTGTCAGGTGGCGGCCCTGCTGTGCAGCCCAGGAGAGTGCTGTGGGCTGCAGGCATTCTTGGTTGTGCCTATACACAGTGCTCAACACCCAGCGGCCATTACCCCGCGTGCCTCAGTTTCCCAACCTGCAAAAGAGCAAGACGGTCGCTTTCCCCGTGTAATGCCATGGCAACCTGGTCCTCACCGGCTTCCTTTTTCTTCCTTTGTCACTAAATTGCAGTGTGAATGTGGACAGAAACCTTCCTCGGAGCTTTAGCTGCACCCTTTCCGCTGCCAAAGGGATGGCACGTGGTCTGGAAATTGCAAACTTTTAAAGGACACGTAGTCCCCCGTCCCCCGCCCCAC